GGGAGGGGGTGTGGTGGGGGGGGGGGGGGGGGGGGCTACAGGGGTGGCTTCTGTAAGAAGCTGCTGGAAGCTTCCCCTGTGTTCGAGAGAGCCCATACCAGCCGGCTCTAAGACGGACCCACCGCCGGCCAAGGCTGAGCCAATCAGCGATAGTGGTAACGCCTCTGTGATAACATTTTTAAGAAGGAAAAAAAAGTTGGGACAGACGGAAACAGCCGCTGGAGAGAGGAGTGAGAACATGTAAGAGAAAAAGGAGGAGGGGGAGGAGATGCTCCAGGCACCAGAGCAGAGATTCCCCTGCAGCCTGTGGTGAAGACCATGGTGAGGCAGGCTGTCCCCCTGCAGTCCATGGAGGTCCACAGTGGAGCAGATATCCACCTGCAGCCCGTGGAGGACCCCACGCCGGAGCAGGTGGGTTCCCGAAGGAGGCTGTGACCCCGTGGGAACCCTGCACTGGAGCAGGCTCCTGGCAGGACCTGCGGATCTGAGGAGAGAGGAGCCCACAGAGCAGGTTTTCTGGCAGGACTTGTGACCCTGTGGGGGACCCACGCTGGAGCAGTCTGTGCCTGAAGGACTGCATGCTGTGGAAAGGACCCATGCTGGAGCAGTTTGTGAAGAACTGCAGCCCATGGGAAGGACCCACGTTGGAGAAGTTCGTGGAGGACTGTCTCCCATGGGAGGGACCCCACACTGGAGCAGGGAAAGAGTGTGAGGAGTCCTGCCTCTGAGGAGGATGAAGCGGCAGAGAATAACATGTGATGAACTGACCATAAACCCCATTCCCCGTCCCCCTGCACTGCTGGGGTGGGGGGCTGGTAGAGAATCCGGGAGTAAAGTTTTGCCCGGGAAGAAGGGAGGGGTGGAGGGAAGGTGTTCTGAGATTTGGTTTTATTTCTCATTACCTTACTCTGGTTGATTTGTAATAAATTGAGTTAATTTTCCCCAAGCTGAGTCTGTTTTGCCCGTGACGGTAATTGGTGAGTGATCTCTCCTGTCCTTATCTCGACCCACAAGCCCTTTGTTATATTTTCTCTCCCCTGTCCAGCTGAGGAGGGGGGAGTGATAGAATGGCTTTGGTGGGCACCTGGCATCCAGCCAGGGTTAACTCATCTCAAGGGTATACTTTGAAGCTGCAAACATTGGTCAGCTTGAGACTAATAAGGGAAAACACAGAACTTGTTTGATTTTTCAATCTAGCTAGTAATGTTGATGTCTGGGGGAAAGATGGCAGATCCTCATTTGTTAAGACCCATGGGCATTGTCTGTCTATGATTCTTGTCACTGGCCTCTGATTTCTTTCAGTTCAGGCAATCCCCATCATAAACTTAAACCTTCGTATATTTGCTCAGTCTTCAAATCCACTTTCATGCTGTCCCATAAGGCTGGAACTTTCTCTCGCCCACAGCATCCATGCTTCCTTCCCTATTTCTTTTAAAATCCTTCTGTGGCCACTTCTTCAAAGAGCTGCATGGATATTAATAGCATTACATTATCTTTTAACCTTCCTGTGCTCTCAGGAAAACATTTCCCTTTGTTCTGTTTTCATTGTCTTTGAAGAAGGAAATATTGTGCTAATTATGTTCGTAAGTCACCTTAACCAGTAAAATGTCACACTTTCCCTAAGCGTCAAATACTGCAAAACTGGGGCTATCTGTAGTACCAGCAAGTGTGGCCAATTTCTTGAGCCTGTGATGTTTCATACGTCTATGCCATGACAAAGCTGCGTGAGAAGTTTGATCACCATAAGAACATGCATGGACACACACACATACACACACGTAAATCTATTAAAGTTAAAACTGCAATCTCTTGCTGAAGTTATGCTTTCTTTCCTCTGACCCAGTTTTTCATTATGTTTTTTCTTGATCAGAATTGCCAGGTATGAAAAAAAGATGAATTTAGAAAGATAAATACAAGCAGATATTGAACAAAGCTCGTTAGCACAAAATGAAGACATGCAGGCCATGTGGTTGCTGTTCAGCAGTGTAAAGTGTAGGTGCCCTGCTATCCCACTGTAACACACATTTATAATGCCATATGATCAGTCTACCCTGTTGAAAACACTGGGTTTAAAATTCTGTGATCAGATGCACATTCGCAAACCACTGGTCTGACAGTAAGCTCTTACTGGAGTTAGGGGGACACCCTTAGAGGTGCAGATCTTCACCAGCAGAGATCTTAATTGCAGAGTGGGAGATAAGACACTGCTTGGCATAAGATGTGATGGCAGAAAGAATTTGAGCTTTTAGGGGAGTAAAAAGACTACAATCCAGAAGACTGAGTCAGAATATCACAAGGTAGCGTAAACCTGGTTTTGATAAGACAAATCCTTTGCTGAAACATCAAAGTCAATGAGTCCCCAAATGATGCAGTTCAGAGAACCAAACACAGGAACCAGAAAATGGCTTTGTTACAGATAATTTCAGTTTTAAATAAATGTAACATTTTATTAGCTTGCTAACATCAGAAAATAAGCAGGCTGTTGGATGCCTGGAAATACATGCACAGCGTGACTAAATGACTTAATTTGAACTTTCATATCTCAGTTTGAAGAAGCAGCAAACATTTATTTGTAGCCTTCTGTTTTGATACATTAATCTGTTGTTCAGCAGCATTTGTGTGCACAGCTCCACAATAGCTTAGTGGGGATTCAGTGTAAATATAGAAATGTTTCCCCCAGACACAATTTAAAATAATACAAGTAGGTAAGCTGTACTTGTATATAGATACATAGCTATATAGTAGGTCTATAGATCTAGATACATAGCTGTATAGATTTAGATACATAGATCTATAGATCTATACAGCAGTTATGCTTGTATATACAGATATGCATAAATGGGGCAAGGTAGACAGAAAGAGAATGGGCACAAACTGAAACACAGGAGCGTCCCTCTGAACTTCAGATAACACTCTTTTACTCTGAGGGTGACCAAATGCTGACACAGGTTGCCCGGGGAGGTTGTGGAATCTCCCTCCTTGGGGTTATTTGGAAACTGGCTGGACACGGTCCTGGGCAACTGGCTCTAGGTTGCCCTGCTTGATCAGGGGGGCTGGACCAAAGGACCTCTGGAGGTCCCTTCCTACCTCAACCATTGTGGTAGGTTATTTTCAGCATCTGCCATAGTAATATCACCCCTATTACCATTGTGTAAATGCTTTACAAGTTTTAATCTGGTTGTGCTTTCAGCATCCTGTGAGTTAGAATAAAAGGTTGGGCTAATTCTTTCTTGTAAAATGCATCAGCATCTTATAAGTGGGGAGTGAAGGTTGAAAGAGAATTTTCAAGTGGGCCTGTTTAAGAGATGGCATTTGGGTCTTTGATTTCCATGGCTTCTTTCAAAATCCCAACTTTTGCATAGACTGTGGAGCCTAAGGTTATAAATCCTATGCAGCAGAGAAAGAGAAGTGAATTTTGATCTCCAGGTCCCAAGTGAATCCTCTGAGCTTCTTCTAGAACTTTTCTATTGCAAAGTAATGCATAAACTTGTAAAATCTCTTCTTAAGTGTGATTTCAAAGTAGCTCACAAATAGTTAGTATAGAAAACAAAAAATGGTAAGAGTAAGAACTCTGCAATGACGTGTTATAGGAACGTGAACTGGCAGACTTATGCTAGCCAGCTTTATATGCCTATATTCCTCTTCCTTGGGTCCTCCCTATTTTTTTTCAGCCAGCTGTGCTGTTTGCTTCCCAGTGTAATGCATTTTCTTCCAGGTGGGAGAATAAAGCACTGGATCTTTCTGTTACAGTTGTTAAATGCAAATACATTGTTATGGTAAGGGTTGATTAAATTCATGTGATAGGATTGATTTTTTTTTCCTCTATTTTGATTTTATCAATTCTGTCTAAACTTTTTTTCAGAATTATAACAGAAATTTTTCATGCAAAGTATTTCAGCTAAAAGAAATATGGAACATAATTCAAAAGTTATACTGAAATTTATTTCCAAGAAATGAAATATTACATTGGGCAGATGAGTTGGAAAATAGTCAACTAGGTCAGTGTAGTAGAGTTTCTTTGGCCTGGACTATAGACAGGTAAAAGTGTACATTAAAAATAGGAAATTAGCTTGGAAGGCAACAGTGAAGCTTAAAAAAACAAATAAAAATCATCAGCATACCTGATATGTTCTCTTATTCCACCATGCAAATCCAGTGCCAGAACTTAGAGCTTTCAATTTCAGATTTCCTTTGGCCTGAGTGGGAGATTACCCAAATACATATAGTAGAACTCACAACAGAATAGTGTTTTTGAAGAGAGACAATTCTGTTACATACTCAGAGTTTTCCTGAAGTTTCTAAAACTTGCAGAGAGAGTAACTCCTGAACAGTTCTAATGTCAAGTTCCTATTTTGACAGCAAAAGCAGACAGCATGAACAGCTTTCTAGTTGCCATTATTTTAGTAAAGCCAAATTTGTGACCCATATTAACTGCAAATATAAGACTATTTTCACATGAAATAATATGTACCTTTGAAGTTAACTAGAAATCGCTCTGCCTTTTAGTACTCATCATCTTGTTTCTTCCATGTGGAGCAGCTGTGACTCAGTTGAAAGCACATTTTTAGGCATTCTATCATGTAATATCTTTGTACCTCTACATTTTTCTCCTCCCTCAGAGACTATGAAGAAGATATTTCAAGAAAAGGGCATCTTTGCAGGAGAAGAAAGAGCTTTTAAACCACATCTGACCTTCATGAAGTTGTCAAAATCAACACAGCTACGTAAGCAGGTGAGCTCACATTTCACATAGCTCAGCAGCAGTCTAGAAAGTTTAATTTGGAGATGAACAAAGAAGTTGCTTATGCTATAGCATCATACTTTCCACTGTGTAACCAGCTGAAGAGGTAAGACTTTAAAATACTGATTTTTTGTTTTAGAAAAAAATAATTAGTACATCCACCATATAAACAGTAGTCCTGTACTGTACTTTAAGTTGCCACTCTTGATATTCTCAGTACAGTAATATCATGGTCTATTTTCTTTTGTGAAACTAGGCAAGACCAAAGGATGAAAGTACTTGTTCAAAATTACAGAATAATTATTGGGGTATAGATTATATGCATGCAGTTTGTTTGGATAGTTTTGTTTTGTTACTGTATAGGAGCAAATAAGCAAATAGCAGTGGCATTTATATTTGGATTATGCATAATAGGCAGACTGTCAGTTTCCTCTATTGAATAGGCTTTGGTGAGTTTCAGAGTAGTGATGAAACACATCTTCTATAATCTCTCTTGCAGGCAGTTAGTTATTTCTTGCCTATTTATTAGCTTTTTTGACAAAATACACAAATACATAAAAGTAGGTTATAGCTGTGGTGGTATATAGAAGCAATACTAGTGTATCTCATTTTTTGTTTCATACTAATTTAACAGTAATATTGTATTATTTAACATAAGGTGTATCTCCATATATTATTTTGCTGACATTGTATAGAATGTTTTACATGATCCTTTAACATTAACCAGGAAAATAATTAAAAAAATATATTTTTAAGTAAGAATTAAAGTACATAATATAAATATTTTAAGTTGATTGTTTTCCTTAATAGTAAGCATTAAAGAAAAATACTTCAAAATTTCATTAGAAATAACTCTAAAAAATGCTGAAGGTGTATATTTTAATTAAGTTGTATTGTGAAATCAGTTGGAAGAAGGCAGTGAGATTTGAGATACATTAAGAAACCTCAAGGGCATACATACTTGCTCTGAAACAGAAATAAGGACTTGTCCACAGGTTGTAGGTGGTATATTACAACTATTAAGTTTGTAAGCTCACATAAGCTTTTGCTTGTATTAACAGTTGTTTTTTAAAACATTCATGTTAAAAATTCACAGCTCTTCTAGAATATCAGCTGTTCAGTAATTTAACTCTTCAGTTAAAACATCTGAGACAATCAGGGTGGTTTTTTTGCCATTCTGTTTTTTGGTTGTTTTTTGGCTGGTTGTTTGTTTTGTTTACATTTATCTACCTTATATGAACTATTAGCCAGGATGCATACTTTCTGTGTTCTGATACTGCTGCTGACAGAACCAGGTCTGTGTCGTTCCAAATGATCTTCCTTAGTCCTCCATAATGCTCGATAATGCATATGGTATTCTAAAGATACACTGTATAGAAAGATACTATATATTAAAAATCTGTACATTTTTCTCTGTCAGTCCACTGTCAGGCATAAACATCGGTCTTTACTATCATTTTTTGTTTCATTGTGTCCAGTCCATGCACTTACTGAAAACAATAAATAAAAACATGAAACATAAAAGGAATAACTATTTTGTAGTACGTTTTAATATGATGTCTAACTGCATTTTCAGATCATACAACAGTATTAAAAACAAGAAAGAGGGAGTGGATGAAGATTATATGAGAAAGCATATAAAAGAGAAAATAGAACTAAAGTAGTTGAATATAGTTCACAGCTATAGCTTTATAACTTTATTAATATTTTTTTAAATATAAGTTTCCTTATTTGAAGCAATACTCTGTTAAGCCACTCTCCTCATAATGACATCTAAATTCCACTAAAGTTATCTTCTGGGAAAAAATAAATAAACCTGTTTTTCAAACCTTAATATAGCTACAGACATTTTTGAAATGCATATATTCTGAAAAGATTTTAACTCTCCCAAGTTGTTGCTGATATTTACAAAGCAAAGAGTTTGAGAATTCAAAATTAATAAAGATCTCAAGAAATCAGCTTTCCACTTCGAAGGCACAGCATTAAGCTAAAAATGGTAAATGCAAAAAACTTGGAAACAGACATTAATAAAGGATAAAAATGTGAGATAAAGTGGGTTAGAAAAGAGCTATCTGGGTTACTGTACCCTCTTCAACTTCTCAGGTTAAAGATCTTACCTACTCAGAAGTGGGAGCAACTTATTCTTCGTGCTTAGTTGGACAATTCTGAGATCAAATGTGCCACTGAAAACTTCCCCAAAATGAGGTACAATGTGCCTCTAGATGTCCTTGTGGAAGGAGATAAAGGGACGTGATTTACTTGCACATGTTTAGCTATTTCCACAGCTGTTTGAATGATAAAGATCTTGGGTTAGTATCATTATCTTCTACACAAAGAACCCAATCAAACACAATGAAAGAAGCAACTGGAGTTCTGCACTTGAAGACAGCATTTCTATTCCTGCTTCCCTTGCTAGCTCCCTGTGTTGCCACAGGTTAGTCGCAACCCCTCTGTTTTTAATTTGTCCAGACTGCTGTTTATTTCAGAGTGCATTGTGAGGCACACTTGATAAATGCTGTGTGACATTTGGAGATCCTTTGATGCCTAGTGCTGCCAGAACTGCAAATACTGTGAAATGAATTTCATAAGTAGAAGATGACTGACAGCTGAATTGCTCTGATGGCATCTGCTTAATTAGTAACAAGTATATCCTTAGCCTAGACAGTGGTTGACAAGAAAAAATGCCCAAAATATAATTTAGGAGTATTTAATAAATTAAATTCTTCTGTACAGTATATCTTTAGAATGCTGTATGTATTAGTAAAAGAGAATTTATTAGTGAGAAAAATCCATTTGTATTCACAACACTTGCAAGTGTTGTACAAGGCCTGATTCACTGTTACCATTCAACTTCAATGGTAACATTGTCCAGATGCTAGATATTATTTTGCAGAAAGTATTATTATGATTGTACTGGAAATAGCAGTAACCGCATGATTCAGTAATTTATTCTTGTATTTTTAAATGTAAATTATGTTAAACTTTTGCCACTATCCTAATTTCATATAGAGATAACATAAGGTACTTCTTTTGTAATAATAATAATAATTCCTTCATCATAAAGGAGGAAATTCCACACTGAATCAAACCCAAAGCAGTGTCTCCAAATTAAAAGCTTTTTGATGTGCACTCACATTCATCTTTTCGCTATCTTCAGTGAGACATACCAGATAAGATGTTTAATACTGATAATTATGAAGGTAATTACTTTTTTTAATGTAAATTTTTTCTCAGTTTATGTGACATTAATATTTTTGGCTTCTTGAAATCAAATGTAGCTGAAGAGAGATGTAGTATATCTGCTGATGTCTTTTATTAGCCATACTATAAGCAGTTACAGCAAGTTTGGGCAGTCAGACAATAAGCTATTTAATGTCTCTTCTGTTTCTCTTCTGATTCTAAGGAATCTCAGTCACTTATCTCATTGCAGGAAAGGTTATTACTTCTTTAGTACTTACTTATCATGTGTCCTGCTTCATTAATTTGTTAATGAATTTTTGTTGCATATGCATACATCAAATACTGTGTTCAGTGACAATGCTCTGCATGACAAGGGAAGTGAAAAGGAATCCTCCCCTTCTGGTATTATTACTTTAATGTTAAGTTTTACTCAATACTTGAAAAGAGAGTATAAAATGTGAATTTCTGTCTTACATCCCTAGTATAGTTTTCAGTTTCCTAGATTTGTAATTTTGCTTTTATTTATACCCATATGGCATAGATACATAATTGTACCTTATGGGACCTTATGAGAAGAGAGGGATTCTCAGTAAAACCAAAGCACTTCTCCCGTTTATCAGTCCCTGCTGATTCTGACCTCCAGCACTCTCTTTATAGTTACTCCTAGGATCTCTGATATTTTGGACAGAAATGCTGGTATAAGAAAAGCTGCAGAGCTCATTAAATCCCTCTGTATTTCCATTTATCAGCCTCTATGTCAGTGGTTTGTATTGTGACAACTGTCACTTGCTGATATGGGAGTCTGAAGCACACACTTACTTGGCATCTTTGATACTGATCCTAAAATGGCTGAAATGATCACTTTGGCACAATACAAAATAATAAACACTTTGCTTTCACAGTCTTATGAGACCAGCGGAAATATTTTGTGATTTTTGTACTATATTTTTTTTAATCTGAAGATCTAGCAACAGGGGCAGAAAATGCACAGAGCGACCCAACAGCTGGAAGAGGTTCTTAAATTCTCTTCTTTCAGTCTTCCTGCTTTCATATCATACACCATATTGCAGAGGTATGTAACTACAGTACTTGTTTTAAACAAAAAGAAGAAAGGAGATAACTATAGACAGTTTGCTACAAGCTGAATGTAGTGTGAGGTGTTAAGTCACAGTGATCATTCTTTAAATTACCAAACTCTCCTACTGAACATGGTAGATACGATGTAATCTATGCTTTTACACATAGCCCTGTTACAGGACTGAGGCTGCAGAAGGCAGCACCTCTTTATGCATGAACTCTTCTAAGTCCACATGGGGATCATCAAGGTCTAGGCAAAGAAACTTTTCCACAACAGACTTGCATTTTTCCATTCGATCTCCTTTTGAAGGATGATCAATACGTTTGATAGCTTTTCCATTGCGAATCAGTTCTGACACTTCCACTCCTCTTTCAATAATTTTGGCTGGCATTCCTGCTAATGCAGCAATGTTGGCAGCATGACTAACAGTGGAAATGCCCTCTTTGATCTGATAGAAAAATATCAACTCATCTCCATCTTGGTGGGTCTCCATGGTCAGGTACTCCAGAAGAGGTGTGTCAGGCAGGAGTTCTAGCTGCATTAAACTGTGAAAATTAGTGGAGACAAAGACCTGCGGACACTGTGTTCCTTGACTGATCCAGTATCTCAGGACAGCAGCCAGAAGGGACAGGCCATCGAGTGTGTTGGTCCCTTTACCAAACTCATCAATAAGTACCAAGGACCTCTCAGTAGCATTGTTTACTGCCTTGGCAACCTGGTTAAGATCAATCAT